CCATGCTCTAGTTTCCGACATGTGTTATGAACGCTTCTGAACAATCCAGTAATAACTGCAAACTACTCATCCAAGGCCCACCATGCGTGCGGAAGATTGGTGAGGACGAATGGACCTCACTTGAGTCTCATCGTGTCGCATAAATCAGGCCAATAAAAGGTATCATCTTACAACCTCGTTTGGCAGAAGTAATTGAACTGTTAGGTTTGATTCTGAAAGTGTTGGACCTGGTTTTTATAGTGTTCATTTGAGTGCGAAAGCTGAACATCTATTTTAATGCCTTCTCGACCTGTCATCCATCCTTGGTTTAGTATTCATTTGTTATCAATGATCTAGGTTTTCAATTAACATTTTTTTGTTTTTTCTCCTTCTTGTTTTCTCTGTTATCTCTCGCTGTCAATACATCAAAATTAGTAATGTAACATGTCCGATGAACAGTCTGCGAATCAAAGATTCCCTGAAGTTGAAATGATTTTGTATGCTCAGTGATTCTTGTCGTAGTGATTATTCGATAAATTACACTCCAAATCCCGGAGGCTGGGTGGGCGTGGCTGCATTTATTTGAATGTGACTGGGGCGGAACTTCTATTGGGATGTTTTCGATTTAGGACAGTAGTAACAATTGCAATTGTTGAGCACAAGGCAGAATGACAAAAGATAGATTCTCCGAGAGGAAATGTCTCACGGTAAACGCAGTGTTAGAATGAAGTACGCAGATACGCTCGTCCACTTTTGGGATATGGAGTGTATAAACCGCAGCAATGAAGAGAGGACACCTATTTATGTTATCACTGAATTGCTGAGTCTTTTACAATCGAATCCAAGTCAGGATGTGTCTGATGGAGGTGGATGCTTGCGGATATCGAATCCGACGATAACATCAAATCTGAGAAACGCCACATTTTTCAAATGAAAGTTTCCCATTTCCGATTTAGTGTGTGGTGAGTGGAAGCTGTTCATTGCGCGCTTGCTGAGCACATCCTGTCTTTTGTTAACCTATTTATTACAGCCATTATGCAGAAGATTTTGTATTATCCTTGTTACACTAGTAGTGCCAAGTAGAATTTTATTCTTGTAAAAAATAAATATATGAAGCTTTATTCAATGAGCTAATTGTAAAATTAAGTGAAACAGCAATGTTCGGAATTTCTTCAAAAACTCACGCATATCTTAACATTTGCATAGTTTGTGCAGTAACTACGAGGTTGTTGCAGTAGTATGCAGAAGGCAGGCTCTTATTGTGACAGAGTAAGGTGAAGCTCAGAATTCTTAGCAGGTAGCCATTTGTGTGAAAGCACTGTTTCTTCGACTATACTGTGAAGTCTGACCATCATCTCTCGGACACGTGCGTCGTCATCTGATCGGCCTTTCCGAAGGACACCAGTTTGTAGCCAGAGACCCGCTGCGAATACCGTTTGTCCAGAAGTAAACGGCAGTGTTCTATGGTAGTCTTCCTGAAGAAATCTGGCTGAGGCTTCGTCCATGTGAATTACATAAATCGCTTTTTATTTCACCTTGTTCATACTGATCTATTACACTGCGGAGTACAAGAGCTAAACTCGGTTGAAATTTCATAAGAGTTGGAGTGCAAATTACATCTGATCTCTCGGAAATCATCCGGTGTTACGCAGGTGTTTGGGTCGGCGAGAAAGTTTAGTCATATTTTTTGCACATAGGACGCTTGCACTTACAGACACACCTCGCGCTCAACAGCTCTGGTCGTCCATGTGAAAGTAGTCCACCCCCAGGCGTAGAGGTTGTCTTATTATCACGGGGAGCGAGTGAGGATGGTGCTACAGCCGTCGAAAGTTCTGCTTCGGACACCCGCTCAGTTGGAGCGCCCACCAAGTCTTCTTTACTAATAACGCAGCGGCGCTTTGGATGGCATTTAGTAGTGGAAGATACGGGAAAGCGACTTGTGAGCAAGAGATTGCACAGAGAGCGCAGGACGTCGAGGTGCTCGCAGATGCGGAGAACTCGTTCAAGGAGGCTGTGTGACTCACAGGGAGTGGTTTTATTTATAATGTTTTGCGGATTCTTTTCGCTTTTTTCTTATATGGGGAATCAGCTACTGGTTCATAATTGAGCACCCACTATCCACGATACTTGTCGCGAGTACTGTCAAATCTCTTACACAGGGCGACACTTCTGTTAGTACCAGTCAGTTGTTTTCGAATTCTTCTTTAGCAATTTGGGCAACGCCTTCGTCCTGAACGTCAGCACATGCTCCGTCCTAGCACTGTGGCTCGAGCATGAGAGCCGCCTAAGCCAAAACGAATGAGCGGCAGTAGGGCGATGCCTTCAACTATTTAAGCAAGCTTCCACCTCTGTAATGCTTCAAGGCGAGAGCCTACAGTCTTGAAGACAAAGCGAGATTTTGATGTGCTTGTGGATCTAGCCTGAGGGAGCTGCGGCTCAGGAAACTAGATCAGGGAGTTGGATTCATCGTCGGTCTCTACGCAAAGCAGCTGCGTGATCTGAAGGGAATCGTCGATTAGAGGGAAGATTTTGCCTGCATTGTCTTCAGCATGACCCTATGAGGTGGCACTCCTTAAAAATGTCAAGCCGAATATCATGCAATACAGCTGGGTGGTTCGCCTTCAACGCCGACATAGCAGGTCTTTCTTCTCAAAACCTGCTAGTTGCTATCCCACCTATAACTCGTTAAATGGGCAAAAAAGTCTCACGACTCGAACCCAAGTCAAAATCGAGATGACGTCTAACGTTGTATCGCGCCAGCCTGTTTTGGGAATCGGTGACATCTGCGGTGCTCAAAAATTGGCAAGAACTTGATAACAATGCTGAATATTTCGAGTCTTGTAGGTTTCTCTACAAAAGGATAACACTATCACAAAAAGCGGCAAGGCATTCTCGCCAGCTAAATGTATTCGTTACTATAAGTCAAATGTCACAAAGTTGCTCCTGGAGGGATGCAAGAATTGATTCACGGATGGGTTCGGATATACGTTACATTTTTCTCCAGTCATCCTTGGCTTTCTCTGAATTTTGGCGAATTTTTGGAGTGCAGGTCAAGTATTTATTTGCATATTGTATGTCACTATCGTCCTTCGCTCAGGGATTGATTACAGGATCAAAAATGCCATCTAGTTCAAGACAGTCGCTTGATACTCCACCTATTTGGAGTATAGATCTAGCCATAACATCCGCTTGTCCGCACAAGCCATTTTGCCATCTGTATTATCTGCATTTTGAAATGACTCACCTTCAAATCTTCGAAAGTGAACGGCATTTTCAAGCTTTTCTCTTTCATTTTCATCTGCATCTTGTCGAAATAGTACTCCAGTAAGGGTTGAGTCATTCGTTTCCGTCGCTCAGTGCTGCAGCCTGTGACCAGAACTCGTTGAAGATCCTCTGTCTGAAGCTTTATCTCTCTGGCAGGGCTGCATATTTTTTGAAGATGGGTTCAAATGGATGATTCAACTTCTGTCTCTCAAAAATTCCTACCAGTGATCCTGGATGGCACAGTGACCAGTCGATTATCGCTGCAAGATCGTCACCTTTCCAGAGAATGTTCGCCGTCCATAAATCGGCATGCACGTACGTTCGAAGCATTCCTTCAATATCGCGAACTCCATGAAACATAAAATTTCATCATTTTGTTATTGGTTGCGGAGGTGTGCCAGGCTCAGGATGAGTTTGACACGTCGCCAAACCCTCGTTCTCCATCGCTCATTGAAATTGGTAAGGGACAGCGGTTGGTGGAAGGCAACAGATACGAACGACGTTATACAGTGCTGTCGCTTGTTCGCCTCAACAACTGGTGATAAGTAGGGTTGGCGCGGCGCTAAACACACCACACCAAAGGCGCCCTTCATCCGAAGCGAACAGGACTGTACTTCGTGAATCAAATCATTCAGCCATGAGCACTCGGGCTCCTCGAAAAAAAAATTCGCTCTGGATAAAAGGCACAGATATCACCCCATATATATAATTCGCTTTGTCTGTTTGTTTGTTTGTTTGTGAGTTTGTAAGTTTGTAAGTTTGTAAGTTTGTAAGTTTGTAAGTTTGTCTGTCCGGAAATTCGGTTCGACCTGAAGAACGACTTGGAGAGGTCCAGTCAAGGTGGGGATAGGTAGGGCATGGGACAAGAAATAAAAAGCACACTTGACCTATGGCAAGCCCCGCCCACAGTGGGCGGGGCACTCGCCGAAAGTTTGGGGTTCCGCAGAAAAATGTTCATAATTCGCTTCCGGAGCAGCTTAAAGATGGGGAAAAAAGGGACTAAGGTTAGTAAGGAGTCGCCAGACTAACTGTGGCAGGTACACCCTAAATGGGCGGGGCGTACTCAAGGTGGGCGGTGCTTCTCGCAAAATTCAGTAACCCGGTTCGCGAGAGTGTTTGGAAGTCGCAAAAAACTCAGTGTAGAATGTAAATATCTGGCGAATATAGGGCACGCTCAAAGTGTGTTGAGACCCGCCCACAGTGGGCGAGCTTGCCCTAAATCGCAGGGTATTCATTTTAAAAGTTTGTAGCTCGGTTCCAGAACACTCCAGATACCGGAAAAAAGTGGATTAAGTTCAGCAGAGGGTCGTCGGTTAAGATTGTGGGGCAAAAAAATTGTGGGCGGAGCCTGCTCCGGTTTGGGCGGAGTCAGACGAAAAATCTGTAAAATAGTTTCAGAGCACTCCAGACACGGGAAAAAAGTGGATTAAGGTCAGCAGAGGGTCGTCGGTGAGGATTGTGGGGCAAAAACATTGTGGGCGGAGCCAGCCCGAGGTGGGCGGAGTCAGACGAAAAATCTGTAAAACGGTTCCAGAGCACTCCGAAGACCGGAATAAAGTGAATTCAGGTCAGCAAGGGGTCGCCGATTGACAAAACGGGTATACATATTGTGGGCGGAGCCAGACGAAAATTCTCTAAAACTGTCCCAGAGCACTCAAAGACCGGAAAAAAACGTGGATTAAGGTCAGCAGAGGGTCGCCAGTGAGGATTGTGGGGCACAAAAATTGGGGGCGGAGCCTGCCTCGAGGTGGGCGGAGCCGGACAAAAATTCTCTAGAACGGTTCCAGAACACACCACACACCGGAAAAAAAGTGGATTAAGGTCAGCAGAGTCGCCGGTGAGGATTGTGGGGCACAAAAATTGTGGGCGGGGCCTGCTCGAGGTGGGCGGAGTCAGACGAAGAATCTGTAAAATAGCTCAAGAGTACTTCAGACACCGGAAAAAAAGTGGAGTACAGAACAAAAGGCGGATATCAGTTGAGTCTAGAAATATGTGAAAGAAAATACGCGCGGCGAAGCCGCGCCGCCCGGCGCAGCCGGGCCGTATCAGAAGGAGGCGCGCCGGCGTTAGCCGGCGAGCCGACTGGTAGTATATAGTGGGAATTGGAAAGTTAGTCTAATGTGGAGAACCAGCAAAATTCCCTCTCCTCATGGCTTTCGAGCAGTTCTTTATTATTCTTTTATGCGGCCGTTCTACCGGAAGTATTTCGCTGCCAGAACTAGTAGAAATCATTAATGTGCCAGGATTTGTAATGCATTAATCGGATCGTAGACAGACACCGGCGCTCATTTTTGTGTGACGCAGCCTCATTTTGCCGTGCATTCTTTCAGTAAATGAAGTGCTCACTTAATGCTGAACATTTTTCTCATCAAGACTCAATCAACGCTCCTTATCGCCAGAAATGTTGAAGGTAATAGGGGTGACAGTAAGGTGTCGACACTATCTGACTGTCTCGACCCCTTCAAAGAAGCACATAGCGGAGCAGTGGCCGAATAGCTAAACCGAGCCGCGGCAAAAAAGTTTGTATTGGGGCATCCGCGTCATATCGAACGATGATATTATCCGCTACCTGGTATACCAGGTTATTCTGGCAGTTCTGAACTTCTCTGACTTTATTAATTTGATGGTGTGGTCCCCTTACCGTTCGCGACCCTCTTAATTTTGACGGCTTAATTCAATGAGTATCGGTAGTTCGTTCGTTCGAATTGTTTATTGTTGAACTCGAACTTTTTCATCTAATTCGTAAAACATTGCGCAACTTGAGTACTTCCGTCTCAGCCTCTGGGGTGCATCAACCTTCTCCAGAGTTCTTGGCTTTCGCCCGCTCATCGAGGCGCACGCTGGATCGCTGTGATTGCCTCTTTCTCTCTGCATCCACGGACCGCTTGCTGACCTTGATTCACTTTTTCCTGGCCCTTGGGCTGGGACTGGAGCTAAACTACAAAATTTGAAATGTCTCAAGCGAGAGACCAAGCTCCATCTACTGCGGACGCGTCTAAGCACGCCACGGACACGCTTACGGCGACTTATTGTGAGTCCTTGTCCCCAAATATTTTTCTCCCCCCTCCAAATTGTCTCGGAGCCGAGTCATGAATCTTTGAAGCAAACCGTCCAAATGAGGTACTGCCGTCCGTTTCCAGTGTGTCTTTCTCGTTTCATCGGTCTGCCCGTTATTTTCTTTTCCACCTCTTTTTTGGTTGCTGAACTGTTCTGCAACCAAAATACGAATTTCATTCTTCCCAGAGCTCATTTACAGTGCATGCTACATGCTTTTAGGAGGGTCTGGATTAACTCATGTGTGGCCTGTATCTTGGACTGTGCACTACCCATCCCGTAACCCGCCATAGACTCTCCAAATAATTGTTTGGTAATCTGAATTCCAGACAGATAAACAAACAAGTACGAGGACATACCTTCCTTCTGGTAATAACGGATATTATCCAAGAACCACATTTCATTTTGTGTATAGTTGTCATGTAAGAGGGTGAGTGCTTGTTTCAGCGGAGGATACACCGATTTCAGACTTTCACACATCATCATGTACATCCTCACGAATTGTTTATATCCTTCATCTGCTTCCTAAATTGACACATTCGGTAGCATTGAATGTAAGAGAAAGATTTGTTGGAGCAATAACAAACTATTAGTGCAATCGCTTCCACTATAATAACGAAAAATGCTGTCTTTAAATGCTATCACGGGCGGAACTCCGATCCCACGCGAGACTTGAACCCTAGTCTCCCGCCGAGTGCGCTATCTATTGCACCACTTGGGTCATTCTTAGGCTCACAACACTTCGTGATAATTCAGCATTTTTGTAATGCCTTTCGAACCACGACCTGTGACGTTGAACAGCAGTTTTCATGCAAAAACTGTCTTTGAACTTCAATCCTTTTTTTGAGAAAGCCCGAGATTATCCAACAGGTAAAATCTTTCCTATCACAGGGAATGCGGTTCGTACTTACGGAGTCTAAAATTTTTGAGAACCTGAAGTAAGCGATAGTTGGCTGAAGCAGTCACTCACTTATCACCAGTCTCACTTGGAGATGCAGGGTGTGGAGCATTATTTCCTTTTGGCGGGCGCTGCAGGCGGGGTGATGCACGCACCAGGACCCTACCCACGCAATAAGGCAACTTCTACTCTATGTTTCAAGTTAACTGGAACTGCGATGTGAAGTGACGCTAGTAACTCAGATGTGGCGTTGGTGTCCGTAGTTTCGCTCGTCAGTCTGTTCCTTCACGTTTTGTTTCTGGTGTTTCACCCACGCAAACGAGCGGTATCTCTCCACTTCTCTCTGGTGTTCATCAGATACCCCCGATTAATTGTACTGAAGAGGACCCTGTCTAGGGCGTTTTGGTCTCGAATGGTGACAGCATTTATGCGAATGTCGGGGCACTTCTCTTCTTTTACTACCCTTCTCTTCGGTACGTAGGCTATATTTTGGTCCTAATTTTTTACTGGAAGTAGAGTTTCACATCCATTCGGCGGCCCTGCTCAAAAGCCCAACAACACCGTGTGCTGAAAACTTGTCGCAAAGAAGTAGCTTGGTTGAGGCCAAGAAGTAGAGTATGAGTATCAAATTTGCCTGACTCCAAACCGCCTGGTACGCTTGTCGCATGTGTCGGCGTCAAAACTGGATCCTGACGCTGGGATCTGTGACACAGGCGTCTGGCACGAGCAGGCTGGTATTGCTATTCATCGGATCATTAGTTTCTTACGTTAGAGTTGGTCAAACTTCGCCTTCCGTGCAAGCTCCCAATCTTCGACGGGAATGTGTCAAATGGTCGTTTGTCCCCTGCGCCACTCATTCCTAGCAAGCAAAATAAGGGAACTCGTGGGAAGTGATCACAAGGTTGCTGAAAACTGTCTAGAAAGCCGGCGTCAAGACATGGTTGGAGCGAATGTTTTACTCATAGCAGTTTCTGGTAGCACTCGCTTCCAATAATTGCTTACCTCAGCGTTCATGCCAAAAGCTTTCCATTCATCGTGGGTGAAGCAGAATACATGTAGTGCAACGAGCTGATCGAGGACCTTGTACAACTGGAATTTGATGATTAAACTAGAATGAAAGTAGGGCGTTCAGCACTAGGATTCATTGAAGGCACGACTAACAAACGGAGCTGACGAACTCGGGCAAGAATTCAGAAAATGGTGTTATTTGGGTCATCGTTTGGGGGAGTGTGGAGGGGGAGGGGTCGTATTCCGCACTTCTGCTAGTTTTTTTTAATAACTATTATGTAGGTTGGAAGGAAAGTCCTGTCAGTGTCTTTTGAATAGCCTACAGTTTTTGATCATCTATGGTCGAACATGACGTAACATGCTGTTGATATTGTGGGTGTTGGTATGTGTGGTTAGAGAACATTGTCTGCAGAGGCTTTTTCGCCACGAGAGAGGATTTGTATCGAAGGGCTCCTGTTTTCTTCGCCGTGTGTGTGCGGAGTGGTGGTGTGTGAGAGTGTGAGTGTGTGCACGGGTGATGAGAGGGCAGCTTCCGAGTGATATTCTTCTAATGAGTGAGCGCCGAGAGATACCGGCGGCCCGCGGCTGGAGCGGCGGCGCCATGACTGTCCGCAGTAAAGATCAACAGTGCATTGGGGAAGGACCACTACCGTCAGGACTGCCCACCGTTGGTTCGCTCGCTTCGCGAAAGGAGAGACGATCTTTGAAGGCAAACCTCGGTTGGGACGTGGAGGACTCCGCCGTTCTAGAATTTCAGAGAGGATCCGGAGGCTAGCACCCGCAGCATTGCGACAAGACTCAGGTGTAACCATTCAACAGCTCTCAGTGGCTACAGAAATCCTCACGCGATGGATACCAGCATGCTCATAGACAGATGGGCACGCGTAATGCCGAGGGTGAGCATAATGTCAATACCCTCCTTACTACAAACCGTAACTGGAAAGGAAGTTTCCCTGATGGATCTTGTGACTGGAGATGAGAGTTGGGTGCTCTATGATTCTAACCTACGCAGTGCCGCCTGTGACTACCTCGAGGAGAAGACCCGCCTACGCAAGCCAGATCGAACCTGCACTCCAAGAAGGTCCTCCTCTGCTGCTTCTGGGATTCGAAGGGCATGCTGCACCACGAGCTGCTTCCGCAAGGGCATACGGTACCGCTACCGTTTACGCCGCCCAACTCCAGAAACTCGCGCAAGCTCTTCGAGAAAAGCGGCCGAGACGAGCTTCGGTGCACCTCCTCCATGATAACGCCAGACCACATGTGGCTAAAGAGACCCACCGCCAAATTGAGGAGCTAGGCTGGGAGACCATACCCCATCCACCATATTCTCCAGACCTAGCCCCCTCCGACTATTACCTGTTCCGCTCCCTCAAGGCTTTCTTAGGTAAGAAAACCTTCAGCGAATTTGATGACATCAGTCGAGAAGTTGCCTACTTCTTCGACTCGCAGCCTCCTCAGTTCTGGGAGAAGGGGATAGCTGAGTTGCCCATTAGGTGGAGCACTGTAGTGGCTAACAATGGCGATTATATTATTGATTAGTTTTTATTTCATGTTGAGTTAGAAAATAAAAAAATCACAACAGTGACAGGACTTTCCTTCCAACCTATATAAGACCTGTCAGCTAACGGGTCTCTCTTTGTGAGGACATGCAAGCACTTACACAGCTGCGAAATACTGCATGTGAACCCATTGGGCACGGATTTTCAGGTATTCAGAAGGTGGCCTGTAAAGCTTCGGTGAATGCGATCCGATGCCTCCTCAAAGCCGAACTACGATAAAAGGTTTCCGTTTTTTGTGTATTCCTCCTCTTTTGATATGCTCATTTCTCTAAGGCTGCGTTCACACTTTGCGGCAGCGTCTATTAGCCACCAGCGGCGTCAATCAGCGAAAACTAGCGTCCGTTAGCGTCTAATAGCGTCCACCAGCGACCGTCAGCGTCCACCAGCGTCTCGAGGACTAGGGAAGCAAAGGTTTCGATCTAGCGACCAGCTGCGTCTACCAGCGTCGACTAGCGACCAGCAGCGTCCAGGAGCGGAAAGAATGGGGAGCAGACAGCCGGTACCCTCCTACCGCCCCACACTCTCTACCAGCAGTCTGCCAGCCCTTCCATCGCTCCATACTCTACCAGCTGTCTGCTACCCTCCTATCCGATAGACTGCGCTGGTCGCTAGATCGATACCTATACTTCCCTGGTCGCTAACGCTGCTGGACGCTTAAAGCGCTTGTGGTCGCTGCCGCTAGGTTTGAACGCAACCTAAGGCTACCAGACACCTACGGACAGGAAGGCTCGCAGATTGGCCGAAACCAGGTAAAAAACGAGCGGTAATTGTCCCCTGTTCCTACAGCCTTCAGGAAAGATTTAGCTGAATGGAATTCCGTTCTCGAGTGTTTCACTGTTCCCATACACTACTTCACTCACTTCACTTCTCGCAGAAAAGAATGAGAACCATGCTTCCAGGCGTGATGATGGCGCTCATGTCGCGATCCTAGAGCCATGAATGTTGGCACTGACCTGGTCATCGTTGAGTCCATCGATAAGGTCGTAAATTTCGCTTGAGTGAATGTCTTCCATGAGTATGCAGGGTGTAGGCGACGAATATGGTAACGAGTCGTAAAAGAATGGCATTGCTAGTCCTTCACACCGGCCTGCAAATATTGTCTATATGCCTGCCTATTGCTCTGCACAAAAAATAACAAAAAATCCTTCACCATTCCCCCCCCCCTATAATGAACGAGTATTTCATTTATATACTGGTAATGATGGTGGTGACAATTCTTATATGGACAAGCGTTGACCCTTCGGCACTACTTACCCTTAGTGCTCCAGTTGCCAAAATTCAGACCAGATTCAACTGAAATCTCCTCTTGGTAGATTTATCTATAATATGGTCCCAAGGGCTAGTTCGACTCACTAAAGGTCATGCTCATCACGCCAGCTCATACCGGAAACACCTACGACACATGCAACGACGCCAGAACTGAGTACGGCTTCTGCGCCGCGGACCTTTGCAAAAAGAATGAGGTTCTTGTGTTCCCAAATAATGAGATAAGTGGACGAAATTTCCGCTGGGTCTACTGCCGTGCTGAAATTGCCGTAAAAGTCTATCCCAAAATTGGGACAGTGGGCTAACCAGTGGTGAATGGTGCCAAATCCCTTGTGAACTTAGTCGGAAACATCAAGAATCATTGAATTGTTTGAAAATGTGATGCTCACCGTTACTGAGCATCCCATATGTGGCGATCTCAGTCTTGTGGACCATTTGCAAAAAGGTATCGTCGGGAGAGGCTTCGGGAACGGTTCCACACGTATCCTCATAATTCTTATTGAGTGTTTCCGCAGTAGGCATCTGATAGGCACTATTAGTTACTAAGCACTCATTGTCAGCACGCCATCATCTGAATCAGGGTGCCACTTCGGGCACTCGTGTTTGTAACCTCAGCTCTTTCATTCCTTCATTATGTCTCTGTCTCACTGCGGGATGGCTTCCCTTCTCGTCTCTGTGCTCACTTAAACCCGGCACATTCCGCGATAAAATAAGGCTATGACCTCTCAAATGTGTCGGACGATCCGGAAGGCGATTTTTGAGGCTGCGCTACTTTCAAAATGTGAAAAACGGCAAGAACTCCGCTAGAAGCTGACTAATTAGGCCCATGGACACCCCTTAGGCCCATGCCGACCCTCACCGGCTGCTAGCTACTAGCTAGTAGCCACTATGTTATCTTTCTCTATAACATTTCGGACTGCTTTTTCTGCTGCTTTTCTCCGCTAATCAGATACTTAGCACTTTTTTGTGCCTATTTGAGTTCCGTTTCCCGCAATTTGCGGTCGCGAACTGTGCCTTTAAACCTAGGCCTATGAGTGGGTCTAAGTCTCGACTGAGGCTAAGTTTCTTCGTGAACGTGTTAGCTGGGTCTGTGGCGAAGCCAGTATTTCTGAGAGAAAACAAGTCAGAAGGGCGGTAAGTAGATAAACTAGTAGAACGATCAAACGCTAATTGACAGGAACACTGACTGAAAAATAAATAGTTAGACCACCAGGCATCAGATTTTCAACCTAGGAGAGAAACATGCGTATGTACAGTACAAGCGCAGTGTCGCAAAGGACATCTTCCATCGGATGTTTTCCGGAAAGCAGCAGTTCGAAGGGCATTTTGCCTCTCATCGATGTGTCGACCCATCTAGGTAGCCTTCTTGAGTTGACACATTTTACCATGATGGCTAGACGAGCTTGCTCCAGCTTCACAAGAGTTCACAAGTTTCACCAGAGTGAGACTTGTAAACCGGAAGTAGTGAGCAGTGAAGTGCAAGAATGCCCCCCCCCCCTTCCTCGACGAACTGCGCTGATTAACTGTTCAAAGAACAAGATGATCTCACCTTGGCAACGACGGTGGGCGGAAGACTGTGAGAGTTGTTGGGCCATCTCAAATGAACACGAACAATGTGTGACATGTATCCGGTAACATTTTGCATTAACTCATGCTGAAACAATATCCCTGAACATATTCATAGCAGTTCTCTTCAGTGTAAGAAAGGAGTCTTGTACGGTGTGTACACACAGCCTTGCTCTCTGCGGAATTTTCGGATAGAACAAGATTTCGGGAGGGGGTGGTGGCTGGGTAGGGTGCGGCGTCAGCCATTCTCCAGTCATTGTAGTCGTCTGCCAGCTTCCAAAGTTGGCGCAGAACAGCCTGGTGCCACGCCAAATCCAGCCTCCTAAAATGCTCGTGTCCGCAACGAACAGAATTGTACACTATTGACACGGCAGCTAAACATTTTTGCTGTACGAAGCAATATTTTAGGGGCCTTCGCGCTTTCGCACATGCACCATATGAGTCCTAACTTGGTGAAAGATTACTATTCCATTCATGGGCCTTGCACCAAACATAGAAAGCGAAGGACTTTTCAGAATAGCCTAGAGCTTAATATTTTGATTCTGGACACCATCAAACCTCGTCGAGATGGGGCCTTCTTTCCTAGGCAGTCTTTTTTATTTCGCTGACATACCTCGCGTAAGTAACTAATCTGGGTATAATGAGCAGAAAGAGGTCTGCATGCTCATCACCGAGATCGGTAGGGCCTTCCTTGCCCGTGTCCCGTGAATGGTGATAGTGTCGTTGTGCCTTCGTTCTCTGTCCCACCCCTTCCAGGGTACCGTCGTCCCTTGTGTATTACAGGTGGTGCTATCTTGCGCTCGCACAGTGGCCGAGATCGACTGCATGAAGCAAGGCCCTTGCGAAGGTCGGTCTTCTTCTGTTTTCTTCCCCATTTATATGCCAACTGGCCCCGGCCCTTTTTTGACCCCATTACTTACGACAGCCATCGCGGAATGCCTCATTGGTAAGAAATGTTTCGCTAGGTGAAGGTGTGACGCTCTGTAAAAGTTGCAGGAAATAGGCGGCAAAAATAGCTGATAAAGAGTCCGCAAGTTCACATCTTCATCGCGTTAATTCCTCTTGTCAGACTGACTGATAAAGAGAAAGTGTCTTTCTCTGCCGTTGAACTTTGCCTTTTTCCTTAGTTACCACACTGGAGACCAGGCGACTCTACATGTGTCTTCAGCCTTTCTCCTTTGCCAATCCTAACAGCGAGACGCTTCCACACCCACCCCCCCCCCACGATAGAAGCAGAGGGTCAACATTCATTCAAAAACACCCTCATGGGCCCTTAAACTATGAAAGTCTCTTCGTCTGCGCAGGAAGAGCCCAGGGGTAATCATTAAGAATTAGTTTGCTTCTGAGGCCAAATGAATTCGCGTATATAGTGTAGTTCGCTGCGGACGGTTGGGTATGTCAGGCGGGATGAGTTTGGCGCGGTGCCAAACCCGTTCTCCACCAGTTGCTAAAGCGAGCAAGTGATATGACTGTGTCATATCGTTCGTATTACTCGTTTTCTACCATTTGTCGCATGCGCGCCCCAACAAGAAGGTGAAGAACGGCTTTGACGGTGTGACACAATCCTACTGCCTGACACGCTCAACCGACCTGGTGGTGAGTATAATTATCAGCTGTATGTTACCAAAATACTGCTTGCGTCACGTTGGAAGAGTCTATGCTGCTGTA